GAGGATCCAGCTGACTGGAGAAGAGGAGGATCGGGGCTGCTCTGTGCAAAACCATTGCACAGAGAGCAGATAAGTATGACATGTTTGTTATTTAAAAAAAAGCAAAAATGAACCTTTAATATCACTTTAAGGCAAACTCAGATTGAGGCAAACTTTCTAGGCTGCTTTAAAAAACTGGTTCAGTGGTTTTGTTTTACTGGATGCCTGGAGTTCTCGAGAAAGGAACTTTTCTCACCACCCCCCACTCCTCCCTTACCAATTATGCTGGGTTCCCTTCAAAAATACATACTTACCTGCCCATCTGATCAAGCATTGCTATGCAGCAATCTATTGTTCAGGTGTCACAGCCAGTGTCCCCAGGCCACCTTATTGGTTTTCCTTTGCCAGCTGCGTCTTCCGCATTCAGGCAACCTAGCCTCCAATGATGCAATCAAGCTCTGCCCCAGGCTGCTCTGTGAATCGGCTCCCAAGGCTTCTCCCACCATCCTCCTTCACCAGGAATGAAATAAGGCACCATTCACCTGAAACGTGAAGGAAATCTTGGTCACTCACATTCTCCTGGCCTAAGACCCACCATAAAGGAATACCCACACGTTTTTTTGCTTCCAGAACACAGATTTGCCTCTGACTCTTTGTACCCAACATCGGCCACAAAATCCAACCTTGACACGGGGATGCCAACCAACACTTCCAGTACCCTCTCTGTAGGTCTCCTATGGTGGGTTTTTACTTAGAGTTACGTAACTGGCCTACCTCAAAGTGTTCACTCCTGTAGCTACAAGCTTACATGGTAGTATGCTGAAGGTAACCTTTACTCATCAACCTCTGCCACAAGCTTTTTTGGGCCTAGAATGTAAGGGACCAAGCTAGCCTCACCCACAGTCTCCAACAAGGGAAGGGGTTTCCCTAAACGGGATACTAACCTCTGCTTACATTGGGATGAAGCAAAGCTGATTTATGGACTGAAATTCCACTTTAGGTAACATTGGTACTGCTGATTACTAAAAAAGGACCAGAAAGGAAGGTGCATGTTGGGGAAAATATTTTAGAACTGAAAGAACTACATTTCCCTGAAGACACCACATTCTGTGTTTGATCTATTGTTATGAATTAAAGCTTTGATTAACAGATATATAATATATATTTTACTCTACCTTTCACATGCACAGTGAAGATGCATCCAGATTTCTTTGTCACGTAATTATATTAATTGCAACCCCAAAGGCTAAAAAGTCATCTGCTGCAAGAAAACAGAAATCTGTGTTAACTCATGCCAAGGTCTGTTAAAAACCTGTGGATTTTAATGAATCCTAGTAAACAATAAAGGCCACCATTGTTCTCTTACATCAACTTTGAAACCAGAGTAATCCTTATGCCATTGTAATTAGTAACACCTAATTAAGAATTGTGGTAACATAATGAGGCATGCTGAGAGGAGAAGATGATGGACAGCGCACATTTGTAAAAGTGCAAAAAAGAACAGACAGTTCTGCCAGCTGTGGCTGAAGAGGAACATCTAAGACTCTGCCTAATAAACTGCAATTAACTCTACAAATTGTTTCTGGGCAAGGAATAAAAAAAGACAATTACGTGTACATTACCTTCATTCTCCGAGCATCTTTCATTAACACTTATTACAAATTCAACGCGTGTTTAAAAGGTACAGCCAGCAGTGCCAGGACAAGGCCCCTTAAAGCTGAACGCCAGGTATTTTATTTTATTTATTTATTAATTTCAGGTACTTACTAGCGCCATCAATTTATGCAGCTCTATACATATATATTGTACATTCACATCAGTCCCTAACCCTCAAGGGGCGTACAATCTAAAGGTCCCTAACTCACATTCATATACAAGGGCCAATTTAGACAGGATCCAATTAACCTACCAGCATGTTTTGGAGTGTGGGAGAAAACCAGAGTACCCAGAAAAAAAACCCACACAGGCACAGGGAGAACATGCAAACTCCAGGAAGGTGGTGCCCGTGGTTGGCATTCGAACCAACGACCCTAGTACTGCTAGGTGGAAGTGCTAACCATTTAGCCACTGTGCTGCCGGTATGATCTTTATCGCATACTTAACCCTTTAGCCGTCAAAGTTGTTTATGCACATGTGTAAAAAAAAATAATTTTAGACCTGAGGATTACTTAAAGGGTTAAAAAAGTGCTAACTACACCCTAGACTTTACTCCTGCACAATTTTGACTCCATTACTCCTCACTTCCTTTTAGGACTTATCGTAAGTCGCTTGCCTTACATATGATAAATGCGGCAAAGCAGTGTATTCCTGTTCATTGGCGATCAGACTATGTTCCCACCGTGCAAGAGTGGCTTCTTAGGATCATCAGGATTGCAGAAATGGAGGAGCTGATTTCAGTGGCAAAGGAACACCTCGAGAGATTCAGGAAGACTTGGGCTTGTTGGACTCACTTCCAAACTACTAATACTTACCGTTGTTTAATGAATGAATGATCAAGAAGAGATTTGGAGGCACGGAAAGCCTTTAAAGCTTTCACCTCAGGAATAGCTCCATAGATGGAGTCTAACCGGACTGTATCCTAAATTAAAGATAGAATCTGTTGTCAGTTTGGCCGTTGCTTATTGATCTGACTGGTTGGGTTGCACTTATTTAATTATAGATCCCATCCTCCCCCCCCCCCTCTTCCCCCCCCTTTTTTTTTCTCTCCTTTTCCCTACATATTTGTCTTTTGTGCTCTCCCCCCCCGCCCCATTATGATGTTATTTTTCATATTTCTCTTCCATTTACGCGCTCTTCTCTTTTCTTTTCTTTTCTTTTCTTTTCTTTTCTTTCTTTCTCTCACACCTTTTTCATACTCTAACTCAGTGGTTCTCAACCTTCCTAATGCCGTGACCCTTTAATACAGTTCCTCATGTTGTGGTGACCCCCAACCATAAAATTATGTACCCAGTAATTATAATTCATGAAGTGTCGTTTTACCTCCAATACTGCTGCTTTCAACACAGTAGCTGTTTTTAACAGAGTAGCTGCTTTCAACACAGCAGCTGCTTTCTACACAGTAGCTGCTCTTTACACATCGGAAATATGTGTTTTCTGATGGTCTTAGGGGACCCCTGTGAAAGGGTCGTTCGACCCCCAAGGGGTCGCGACCCACAGGTTGAGAACCACTGCTCTAACTAATCGTATATTTCATAAGGAACAGAGTATCCATACATGTACAGGTGTGACTGTTATTTACAAAACTAACCTACATTTTTCGGATACGGATACATAGGACATACATGCCTTTAGATGGCACTTCTGCCTTACGCTTCACGGTCCTGTTATCTGAGATCTCCCTACACAGTGGATTAGTGTCCATCATACTTCTCTAAATCACATACTGTTATCATTATTTCTACTGTTATATATTATGCATCTGCTATACTGTAGGACTTTGTCTCAAGATGATCCACAATTTAACCAAATGTCTTGGTCCCGTCTGTGTTACGGGAGAACATGTAAGAGGTACATGCGCGGACTGCGATCCGTATCTGTATATGATTTGTTATGCCTTTCATATTTCAATAAAACCTTTTTTGTAAAAAAAAAAAGCGCAAATAAAAAAAATTAATAATGTGTATACAATTGCAACACAAGTCATATTGTTGTTGATTGTTATTAAAAATTACCTTTCCTTTTCAATCTGCAGCGCTGTCATTTTCTGTAAAATGCAATATGGCTACCTGGAGGCGTTCTGTACACAGATGGTGTACAGAACTCCCACCAGATATGTCTGCTTGTGTGATTGGCTCACTGATTTTCCCAGAAGTCTGCACTAAGATTCAAGTCAAATTTTGGGCATCCCCTACAACAAAAATGTCATTTTTGGTGAAATGCTTCCAAAGGAAATCACGTCTTAGGTTAGTTTCACACCTATGCAGGATGCGTTTGACCCATTTTTGCATTGCGTTTTGCATTGCGTTTTGCATTTTTTCACCTGCATTTTTGCTGTGTTTTTGATATGTTTTTGCATTTTTTTTTTTTTCATTTTTCTTGTTGCTAGGCAGATTTAAACATGAAAAAATGCATCAAAAAACGTGGCAAAAACGCATAAAAAATGCGCTGCATGCTTTTCTGCAGCGTTTCCATTGAAGTCTATAGAACCAAAAACGCAACTTTTTGCATTAAAAAAAGTCCCTGACCCTTCCCAAAACACGCACGGGTTGAAAACATGCAGGTGTGAACATGCCCCACAGGAAATCATGTTAAAGGGACTGTACTGCATTTCTGCAAAATGCTGCAGAAAACACTTAGGTGTGAACCTAGGGTGAAAGGATGCAGATCCTGCAGTTTTCCACATTAGAGCCCTGCAGGTGCAGCTGCTGGTTGAAAATTATGAAACCACACCCATACAGATTCACTCTACACATGGACACAAACAAACAGCTACTCCTTCAAAATGACAAAAGGTAGGAATCTGCAACAAAGTTTGTTAAAATCCCTGCAATGTACATAGATCACCCAGAGGGGAATGTTTTTTCTCAATAAAAGTCGAGTTACTGTTTAACCACTTCGAGTTCAGGCCAATTCTGATATTCCTCTCCTGTAAAAAACGTATTTTTTTTTCTAGAAAACTACTTTTTTACCCCCAAACGTTATATTTTTTTAATGACCCCAGAGAATAAAATGGTGGGTTTTGCAATTTTTTATGTCACATGATATTTGCACAGCGGGTTTTTAGGTGTATATTTTTTTTAAAAATACACTATAATTACTTTTAATACACAAAACAAAATATAATACCCAATTGTTTCATCATATATAAAAGATGATGTCATGCCAAGTAAATAGATACCAAACATGCCACACTAAAATTGCATCCGCCTGTGGAATGGCACCAAACTACAATACCTAAAAATCTCTATAGGCGATGCTTTAAAAGCCTTTACAGGTTACAAGTTACACGGGAGGTCTGACGCTACCATTATTTTCCTCACTTTGACGTTTGCACTCCAGTGAAACATTAAAGTGTTACTAAACCCCGGACCCTGCATTCACTATATCTGGTCTCCCCAGACCCTGCATTCACTATATCTGGTCTCCCCGGACCCTGCATATCCACTATATCTGGTCTGCCCGGACCCTGCATTCACTATATCTGGTCTCCCTGGACCCTGCATTTCACTATATCTGGTCCCCCCGGACCCTGCATTCATTATATCTGGTCCCCTTGGACCCTGTATTCACTATATCTGGTCTCCCAGGACCCTGAATTCACTATATCTGGTCTCCCGGGCCCTGCATTCACTATATCTGATCTCCCAGGACCCTGCATTCACTATAGCTGGTCTCCCCGGACCCTGCATTCACTGTATCTGGTCTTCCTGGACCCTGCATTCACTATATCTGGTCTCCCCGGACCACACTATATCTGGTCTTCCTGGACCCTGCATTCACCATATCTGGTTTCCTAGGACCCTGCATTCACGGACCCTGGGCCCTGCATTCACTATATCTGGTCTCCCCGGACCCTGCATTCACTATATCCGGTCTCCCCGGACCCTGCATTCACTATATCTGGTTTTCCCCGGACCTTGCATTCACTATAGCTGGTCTCCCCTGGGGCCCTGCATTCACTATATCTCGTCTCCCCCCGGACCCAGCATTCACTATATCTGGTCCCCTGGGCCCTGCATTCACTATATCTGGCCTTCCTGGACCCTGCATTCATTATATCTGGTCTCCCTGGACCCTGCATTCACTATATCTGGTCTCCCAGGACCCTGCATTCACTATATCTGGTCTCCCTGGGTCCTGCAATTCACTATATATGGCCTTCTTGGACCCTGCATTCACTATATCTGGTCTCCCTGTACCCTGCATTCACAATATATACGGTCTCCCCGGACCCTGCATTCACTATATCTGGTCTCCCTGGACCCTGCATTCACTATATCTGGTCTCCCACAGTACACACAACATGAAAATGCAATTATTATAGTAAATATAAACTGCTAAATACCTTTTCTCATCAGTAACATATAGCAGTCTTGTGACTTCTATCAGTGTCAAGCAGAGCACTGGTCAATCTTGTAGAAGGAGTTTTTATTCTCCACTGACTATTCTATGAAGCTGCATAACCGCCGACCCTCTGTCTGGACAGCGCTGATTGGCCCTGTGCTGATAACATGCACTCTTCCAAGAAAAAAAAAAATAACAAGATACACCAAACTGAGCATGTGCAGACTTGGCACTGCTGCTCTAATTATGATAGATTGATTGGGGACAGCAAAAGAAGGGGAGGATCAGAGAATACAGGATCAAACAGCATTTTTACACAATACAGAGGATTAACCCCTTAGGTTCCACAGTGAGTATAACAAGCATGCTTTACTACATATACAGACCATGGGCGGACTGACCATTCGAGCACTTGGGCACTGCCCGAGGGCCCGGGGTCAGTAGGGAGCCCCATGAAATGCCCCTGGTACCTTTTATAGGCTTTTTTGGGTGTGCTTTGAGTGTGGGCAAGGACACAGGGGCCCCATGATCCCCTATTGCCTGTGGGCCCCATGAGTTGTCAGTCCGCCCCTGATACAGACTGATTTTTACTGTTGTGCGTTTGGTAACATTTTAACCAGCTGCCAACCGTGAACTGCAGCTTTACTGCTACAGTGTGGGCTAGCTGTGCAAAATCACGTATATATACGTGATTTTGCTTGTCCCGGTAGGAGGGCGCGCGCGTGCCTACCCGCACTGTAATTGGCTTCCTGAAATGCCGATCAGCAGGTCCCAGTGATCGTTGGAGCAAGTGATAGGAAAGAGATTTGTGTTGATAAACATCACAGATCTCTCTACTGACAGCGAGGATGTGCCAGCACACAGCACACACATTACATATGTTTATGCACACAGTTAACCCTCTGATTGCCCCAATTGTTAAACCCTTCTGCCCATTAGTACAGTGTCGGTGCATTTTATTAGCCCTTTATCATTAGTGTCACTGGTCATGTCAGTGTCAGTTTAGCCAGTGTTAGAATACCCGCCGTACTATCACAGTCCCTCTATAAGTCACTGATTGCCGCCATTACCAACCAATTAATATACGCTTATTGGGATTTTTCTTACCAAAGACATGTGGCAGAGTACATTTTGTCCTAAATCTATAAATAAATTTAATTTTTTTTTTATTTTTATGGGATATGTTTTATAGCAAAAAGAAAAAAAATTGTTTTTCTAAATTTTTGGTCTTTTTTCGTTTATAGCGCAAAAAATATAAAAATCCCAGTGGTAATCAAATACCACCAAAAGAAAACTCTATTTGTGTGAAAAAAATTATATCAATTTCATTTATGTACAGTGTTGCATAACCGCGCAATTGTCAGTGCCGTATAGCAAAAAAATTACCTGGTCATGAACGGGGGCAAATCTTCCGGAAGGCAAGTTGGTTAAGGATGATACTTATGTTACACTTACACAAGTACAAATATATAATTATATTTGCCTCTTGGGGGATCAGGAAGAATTTTTTTTTCTCTGCAGGGGCAAATTGGGGTATAAAAGTAGCAAACTGTGGGTATAGGATTATAACATTTTTTTTTTTCTATGGTTGAACTGGATGGATTTTTGTCTTTTTTCAGCCAGACTAACTATGTAACTATTATAATATATTATAGCTAAAATTATAATTTCTGATATTTTTTACCTTCTAAATAACCTTGTTAACATGAAAGCTGACTTGCTCTGTGGTTCCCACACTTCTTTCTCCCAGACTTCTTGGTTTGTGACACCTTGGCAATTTTGAAGTCTGAGAATATTTGTTATCTCGTGTGAGCTGCTGTGTGCTGGTATCAAGAAACCCTTTTAATGGCACAACAAAGTTCAGTCAATTTGGATTCTGTGCGTGACCCCATAATGATCCGAAACTAAGGCTCGGTGATGTTAAATCACATGTTAAAAAGTGGGGCAGCAAATCTGATGATGGAATTTCACATCCGAGACAAAGGTACAACCCTGTGTAGGAAAATGCTTAGCATCTGTAAATCATCCATCCAATTTAGGAAAGAAGCTGGACATATTGAAGCTTTTCACAAGAAAGAAAAATTAAATCTTCCTCCTGCTATAGAACACTGACCTTCCATGTGACGTGATGACCTTGTCCTTGACGGTGTGTAATTTCTCTATGGTGCAATTCATAACCCAATGACACCTTATGACATCTAGAAAGTGAACAAAAGGCATAGAGACGCATACAAAAATGATTGCATCCATGCACTAGCCTCGCAGGCTTATTACCTTACAAATATTTAAACCAGGCTGAACCCAACCTGGACTGTATTATGAAAGGAAATAATTCCTTGGTATACATATGTTGGAGATGGTACATTGCTAAAAGCAACTTAACCACTTGAGCTGCAGAGGATTTACCCCCCTTAATGACCAGGCCTCTTTTTGCTACTCGGCGCTGCACTAATTCAACTGATAATTGCGCGGTCATGCAATGCTGCACCCAAACAAAATTTATGTCCTTTTTTTTCACACAAATAGAGCTTTCTTTTGGTGTAATTTGATCACCTGTGCGCTTTTTATTTTTCACGCTATAAACAAAAAAATACCAAAAATTTTGAAGAAAAACAATATTTTTTACTTTCAGCTATAAAAAATATATAGTAAACTCAAAGTTGGTTATAAATTTTGGCCAAAATGTATTCTGCTACATGTTTTTGGTAAAAAAAATCCCAATGAGTGTATATTGATTGCTTTGTGTGGAAGTTATAGCGTCTACAAACTATGGTATAAATACTGCAATTTACACCATTTTTCTGCTATACAGCGCTGCGCTAGTTTAATGGACAATTGCGCGGTCATGCAATACGGTACATAAATTAAATTTACATCCTTTTTTCCCCACAAATTGAGCTTTCTTTTGGTGGTATTTTATTGCCTGTGCGGTTTTTATTTTTTGTGCTATAAAAAAAAAGGCAGACAATTTTGAGGGAAAAAAAAAACAATATTTTGGACTTTTTGCTATAAAACATGTCCAGTAAAAAAAAATGCAAAAATCAAATTTAGTCATAAATTTCTGCCAAAATGCATTCTACGACATGTCTTTTCTAAAAAAAAAACCCAATACGTGTAAATTAATTGGTTTACGTGAAAGTTATAGCGTTTACAAATGGCGGGAAAGATACTGGGATTTTTAGGGTTTTTTTTTATACTAATAATGGCAGCGATCAGCGAATTATGGCGGCGATCAGGGACTTATGGCAGTGACCAGCGACTTATGGCGGGACTGTGGGACTGCGGGACTGCGGCGGACATTCTGACATTGGGGGGTACTGACTTGGGGTCACTGACATCCCCAAAAACACTAATACAGTGATCAGTGCAAAAAAAAAAACACTGACACTGTACTAATGGCAATGGGGAGGAAGGGGTTAACTTTATTTTGCAGGGAAGGGTTATAGGAGTGAGGGGAGTGTTTTACTAGGGGGCGGGGGTGTGTACTGGGCAGGACAAGGCTGATCGAGAAAGAGAAACTGTTCTTTCTCGATCAGCTCATCCTCGAGCTGACAGGGAAGTGACAGACAGCACAGCTACTGCAGCTGTGCTGTCTGTCACTGTTTGCCGCCGATTGCCGGGAGATAGCCGGTAAGGACCCGGCGACTCACATCTGCGGTGGTGATCGGCGGGACAGATAGAGCGGCGGCGCGCCTCGCGCGCGCCCCCTAGCTGTTTACAAAACACACATTTTAAAACGTGGTTTTGCCTGCCAGTGCTGCCCTGCCGCCGTATATCTACAGTGGCAGGGCGGCAAGTGGTTAATACTCTTCTTTGCACTTTAGTATCAAGAAAATTTATGTTTTATTAAATCAGCGATTCCCAATCTTTTTCAGTTGTGGTCAGGGATGGACTGACCATTTGGAAACTCGGCACTGCCCGAGGGCTCGGGGTCAGTAGGGGGCCCCATGAGATACCCCTGGTACCTTTTTCATAGGCTTTTTTGAGTTTGGGCAAGGACACAGGGGCCCCATGATCCCCTATTGCCCGGGGGCCCCATGAGTTGTCAGTCCGCCCCTGGTTGCGGTACCTATTGAAAGCATGCAAAATTTTGAAGAACCCCAATCTAAAACATTACCCTCCCTGGCGGCCTGAATATGTCAATATTTTTGGCGGTCTGAATATGTCAATATTTTTGGATGTCAAAGCGATACATTGGTTTGCATGGAAATTTGTTTTTTTATATTGTAGGCCTGTAATTCTTAGGAATAACCCACTTAAATCTGTCCAAACAAGAGTCTAGTAAACATCTCGGGTATGATAAAGTTTAAAACACGGAATCATAAATTACAATATAATAAATAATCATAAAAAAATAATAATATAATAATAATAAATATAATTCAATAATATAATCAAACAAAAAATACTGAAATTTTAAATAGAGCACCAATTTCACACATCACTGAGCTCAGTGTCTGATGACGAATTTCCCCCCGAATCACTATCGTTCAATTCTGCAAGTGATTCTAGTTCACTATCGCTGTTTTCTAGCTGGTCTAAAACCACTTTTTGACCTAAAGGGACACTTTTTGGATTTTCATGGATGTTCTCAAGTTTTTCCAGGCAGAAGTAAAAGTGCAAGCAGGGCACAGGACAAAGCACTCGGGACAAAACTGAGGTGAAATGGTTTGATACAGTAATGTAATCCTAACAGATTACGTAGTATTGTGTGTATGTCATGTTTTTACTGCCCCCCCTGTGTCGCGCCGTTTGCAGGGAAGGGAACCCAGAAGACGGATGCCGGCATCGGCCGGAAGACACGGTCAGAGGACACAGCGGGAGGACATCAGGGGATCACAGGACAAGGTAAATTACACTACAGTGTAATCCCGAGTGTGGCTCGGGGTTACCGCTTTTGGTACTGAAAATGAACCCCCGAGTCACACTCGGGTAACCGCTAGGGAGGTTAAAGATGTAATTGTTAATTATCAATGGGAA